TCGGGGGGGGTTCGTTCGAACCCCCCGAACCCCCCCTGGCTACGGGCCTGACATTGTAGCAGAGCAGAGAAATCATGTGATTTATATGCTCTTATTGTAGTTCGTGTGCTCACGTGCGTATCATGCATGTGACCGCTTGGCGCGTGTTTTGTCAACGCCCGCGTTAGTAGCCATGGTCATTACATTAAAATTTTCCATTGATATATTATAGTAATAAATTGAAAGACGAATATCGTCATACACGCACCACATGATCCATGAATGGAATCCACGCAAATAAAACAAATAATTAACCCCACGTGCAAAACAGAAAAAAGCGTGACCGGTCTTGATACACCTCCGGAGTTCCACCTATATAAGGGGGGATAATAAGGCACGCTAAAATTAACGATGTCTCCAATCCGGGTTATTTCCCTTTGTCGCAAAGGTATAGGAAGACAATTTGGGTGCTTTCTCTTTTGGGGTTTCGTGAAGCACAGCAGGAAATGTTGCTTGTCTACGCGCGTGAAAAATGGCGGGGAATTCCGCACAGAGATTTGTAGGATATAAAAGTGCAAGATGATGTTAGGACTCTATAAGCATTTTCAACCAGAAGGAGAAAGCACAGAAAGAAAGCAACGACAACTACCAGCGGTATGTATGAAATTTGTCATGATCATTGTCGTAATTGTATGTAAGCTATATGTAACTCGACTATAACTACATATACGGGGTAGTATGAGCCTATGAGGACGGGTACTCACAGTACAAAATTACAAATCGGTAATTGCACGCTATATAAGTATATGTCTACTATATATGACAAAATACCTCAAAATAGATAATCATTATGCATTTTTATTGTCTAGTGAATTGTCTTCGTACGTGACGAAAATACCACAAATCGCAATAATGAATATAAAGGTGAGAATTTAATTACGCACTGTTATAACTTGTAATATATATATATATGTTTATGAAATTAATTGATAATTATTGATAATTATTGAAATTCGTTTAATACAATTGGGTTAATCTGTGTAAAATCTACATGTTTAAGTGCATCATTATCGCACTATCGTATTCGACCATGCAATGAGGCGGCTTAAATATTTCGCAATGCCAACATAAAAACCAGATAACTTCTGTCTCTAATTGCAGGTAATCTTCCAAGTCTCACTCGCTACGGCACTACTCGGCAGTACGCTTGCCGTACCGTTACGCACAGCGGTTCGTTCACTGGGACGACCGCAGCAACATCCCGTGTCAGAGCACGACTGGTCTTCTCACGTTAATTTGGGGAACGTGACGCAAACGAAGAGCGAGATTCTTGGCAGCCGTCTGACGTCACGTTTGCGCGAGTCGCTTCTTGCCATGACAACGACATCTACGAAAAATCAGCTGGGAAGAGCGCAGGCGGAGGCAGTACACACCGGGGCGCACACTGACGCAGTATCCCAGACGACGCAAGAACGAAGCGCAACCGTCGACGACACAACATTACCGACGACGCAATCGCACAGCGGCGTGACCGCGGATGACGCAAAGACGACGTCAGCCAGTGAGAAACCCTTACTTAGAATCGAACGCGACGCAGCGACCGTAACTCCACCGTGCAGAGAACCGAGCGAGGAGCTACTCGCCGCGCAGCTGGCCGCCTGGATCTCTGAATTCTCGTCGAATTACGGCAGCGGATATTTCGCGACGAAGCGGCAAATCAGCGCCTGGTTCTCCGACTCCGATGCGATCTCGAAAGAGCCGGTCGTGCGGGACGCTTCCATAGGTCGATTCGCACTGACGAAATGCACTGAGAACGCGGGAAGTAGCGGCGAGGTAGCGCAGCAGGCGGTGTGTCGGTGGGCGTACGCGGTAACGGAGGACGACACGCGCTATCCTCGCCACATGCTGACGTCAGAACGCTGCGCTGGCTGCGACGGGGTAAGTCGACTTCTATTATATACTCAGGAACCGGCAGCAGAACCTTCGCGTTACCATGCCCAGCAGATGAACTAGTACACGTATAATATATATGTGTGTGTGTGTGTGCGTGCGTGCGTGCGTGCGTGCGTTTGTGTGTATATTATCATTGTTATTGTTGTCGCTATTATGGACTCTTGATATATAGGCCTATATATATATATATATATATATGACATTTCCTTTTTTCGCCAGACGGCTATCACCTACACGTTTCCAGTGCTGCGTCGGAAAGAAAATGAATGTGACCAGAACGGACACAACGTCTACGCGAAATGTTTCCAGGACATAGACATGGGCTTTGTCATCGAGTCTGAAAAACAGATGTGAAATTGCTGGGCCTAGAACTAGAAATTCCAAAACAAGACTAAGAGTCAGACCAGCGCCGCGCAAGAACCACGAAGAAGCAGTGGATGAGTGAAGCAAACTTACATTGTCATTGTCACATAAGATAAGATACGCTAATAAGATAATGTAAAATAATACGAGATAATGACATAAAAGAGGCGTACGCTAGAAACTCGCAAGAGAAAGATTACGGGTTTTCCTACATAGGCAGCTACACTGAGTGAGCGAGTCGGTATATGATAGCAAGAATGAACGAGCGAGATTGAGACTACGAAATGGATGACTGAACCCATGTGGGCAGATTTTCGTATATATATTTTCTAGGTGCGCGCACGCGCAGCAAGAGTACGTAATAAGATTTTATTATTATTGCTTTACCTCATATATTATTATTATTATTATTATTATTATTATTATTATTACGTTGTTGTTGTTGGTGTCAGATTGTTATAGGTTTGCCCATTAGGATTAAGATGGCACTACAAACTTTGTTGAGGACTTATTACAAAATTGATTACCTGCAACTTGGTTAGAGAAGCTGCACTACTGCAAAAAATACACGTTGATTATATCACACGATTTTGGATGAAAAAAAAAGCCTGATGTAAATAACCTTACAAGTATGTGTAAGTCACCATGTAGTATATATTCTTGTAACGAAGTATAATTAGTACGCTCATATATGCACTACTTTGTAAAACTGTTTATGCCATTTACCTGTTTGTAACATCACTGAACTAAGTTACCATCACAGTGTTGTAGATATTCTGTATAACGTATAATATAATGTAATGTTCATATGTGTTTCTGGAAATAAAGGACATTATAAAAAAAAGAAGTCATCATGTAGTTAGCTGTGAAACCCTTGACATAGACCCAGCCTTGCTACACTATGCACGTTGACTGATTAATCACCTACGCAGGAATTTGCTAAGGCTACGGACCCCTTGTAAACAACCGTCTTAGAATCTTGCAATGTAAACAAGTCTTGAATTTTTTTTAAATAAGTAATTGATACTATTAAGAACCTTTAAATACTATACAAAATATATAAATGTATTTTATTATTATTAACTATCAATGGATAATTCCCATCTTAATTATAGTTATGCAATTGATTTTTTTAACGGTATATGGATAAACAAAAAAGCAAAACTAATGTTATCACAGCGATCAATCAGGATCATGATCAATTAGGAATACTAAAACATTCAATGCTTACACTCTTTCACAAGTAACCGTTACATGCCACCTACACCTATTTTCTATCCACCCTTATGTGCCATTAATAATTCCCCCAATACTGTGACAAATTCTTGTATAACTCGGACCAAAACCAACACAGGTAATGATGATTAGAAATGAAGTGATTACATGATACATCCCTACACCGAAGCTAAATCTCTAGAATTGGATAAATTCTGATGAACCATAAATTATGACTGATTAAATGATTACCACCTGATATATCTGATGATTAATGCTGGCATTTGAATAGAAAATTGTAATAATCCATCACCCCCTTTCTACCCCTCACTGCTGTGCCATTGTCAGTTGCCAGTTGCCTATTATATACTGGTGTAAAATCCGTAGGGGCATATATTTGGAACAGGACAAGTTAAGGCGCAATATCCGTAGTCCGGCTGTGGTTGAATCCTGTCTGTAATCACATCAAGATGACCTTCACTGACGATTTGCAGATATCAGAACGTAGGCTAGCCTCACCGCGTTCAACACGCTGAAATATCAAGCAGGTCCACAATCACATTGAATCAGCACAAGACACGCTGCAGTGCTGATTAAAGTTTCTTTTAATGATGTTCTAACATTCAGCGAATCCTGCCCATGTTTCTGCAGGTCTCTATTGCATCAGGCAGCCTGTCTATCAAGCATTCCTCACAGAGATAGACGGCTTTAATCTGAACCTTCCATAAGGACTCTCATAAGCCAAGAGTGATAATAAATCCAATAGACAGCATTATTGACATTTTAAATTTATAGGTCTACAGCATGGAATAATCACATACTTTCATAGACTTCATACAAGTAAATTAATACATCTGAGACATGATAGTTACTATACAGCCATGATAAGATTACTATATTATACACAATTCTTCACCTATTATGAAGTGTTTGACATATATTTTTACTCATAAATTACCTGAGAATAGTCATCAAGCCAGCCGGCATAAATTTCCATGACCTTACAAACCTTGGTCCCATGACACCAGCCAAAATGCCAGAACACACTGTAACAAGTTATTAATAAGGATTTTTATTAATTAACATTTTAATAATTACTAAATAAGATTAATAATCATCAATTGAAGATCTCTACATAATATGTGCATGTTATTAAACTTTTAATATTGTTATTGTTATATTTGTATTGTTATATCAATAAAGCCATATCTGATAATTAACACAACCAAGTTAAAAATCACTACTCAATAATAACAACACTGATTGCATCTATTGATAAAATAATTCAGTAGGAAACACAGTTTTGAACAAGCGAATAAAATTTAATTCAGAAACCATGTTTTTTATTAAATGTATTAATTGAGCTTTATTATGCTTCATAAATTAGATTGAAGATTACATTTACGATACATACCTAGAGCTACCAAGACATTTCCAGCATTTTGTGATGTCTGATATGCTCCAAATAATAGAACGGTCCCAAAGAGTAGACCCATTCCAAGTGAAATGGCACTGCCTGTAAAACGAGCATCAAAGATAACACAACAGTCAACACAGTTACACGAAACACATGAACAGGGAATACACCTTTAAGGCTTTAAACTTAGAGTTACAGATGCATTAGTCTTATAACTGAGCTACATACACTAGTATTGCATACATACATTGTATAGCTAAATTTGTTTTTATTTACTCCTGATATTAATCATTGTCAGCATCATTTTTAATTATTGAGAAACGTTATTGCAGAGTCGGTGCCGGTGTCACGGTCTAAGATTACCCCAGTCTGAAATTACCCCAGCACGTCGTGCGCATGCGTCAGTAGCCTTGCGTGTAAAGCGCAGTAGCATTGGGCAAATAAGACTGCTGCGGTGGCAGTCAGCGCTGTACCGTAGAGTTTGGACCGTAGTGCCTGCGATAACTAATACATATACTATACTATCATAGCTCATAATAAGCAGGAGATATCAAATAATTATGTTACGGTCTACTCTTAGCATTTTGAGTTGACAACGAGTGGTTTTGAACAATGTTTATGTTCAAAACACCACACCGGCAAACTACCGCGAAGATGGCACACAGCCACACACTCGTTCTGTGACTAGTCAACATTGATTAACTCGTCCAGCCATATGCAAGCACCTAGAAAAACGATCATAGAAAGACGAAATAGGAAAACAAGTGCCGCAGAGCGACAGCGCTCACCTGACGGCAGGTGTTCTGATGCTAAACTCTCTGGCAAACGAATCAAGAGCACCCTCCCATCGCCGCGTTCGCTCTCCCTCGTTGTCTCCCTCATTCTTTCTCTTTCGCTCTTGCTCTCTCTCCCTCTCTCTCTCTCTCTCTCTCTTGCTCTCTCTTCCCTTCACGCTCTCTCTCTCGCTCGCTCACACTCACTCTCCCTCGTTGTCTCTCTCTTTCTTTGTCTTTGTCTTTCTCTCTCTCTCTCTCTCTCTCTCTCTCTCTCTCTCTCTCTCTCTCTCTCTCTCTCTCTCTTTCTTTGTCTTTGTCTTTCTCTCTCTCTCTCTCTCTCTCTCTCTCTCTCTCTCTCTCTCTCTCTCTCTCTCTCGCGCTCTCTCTCTCTCTCACTCTCTTCCCCTCGCTCTCTCTCCCTCTCTCTCGATTTCTCTCTTTCTCGAGGCGGTAGCGCTGCCGGCCGAGACTGTGCGACCGATTGTCTATACAGATGTCTGATTGTCTATCAGACTGATTGTCTTCTAACCCTAGCAAGACCGTTTTGTGGAGCTAGCAAGGCGTTAACGTTTTTATATAACTTCACATAAATGTTTATACTATATGTTAATTCGGGTGGCACTCCGGCAGCCCATGTTTATAGTATACTATGTTAACTCGGGTTTCCCAGCAGCGGCCAGCGATGGTAGAAAATTATGAAAAATTGCTCTAAAAAGCTGCTTGTCCGGCGGACAAGCTACCGGACAGATCTACTTGTCCTCCGTGGTTAGGATTAGGGTTAGGGAAATAAGGCCATGTCTAGCACGGAAGTATGACTGTGGAATCTTTCTGTGGAAGATTTGGACTTTGAAGCGTACGAAGTGACTAGTGCTGCCACGTAACGGCACCCTCCTTCGACGCCCGTGTTCTAGCAACACGCTCTCACTCTCAGACCGTGACACCGGCGGCGGCACTGAGTGATGGCTGTTAGTGTTACTGTGTTATGCTCATTTGGTCACATGAAATATACGCTACATCAACATATATAAGGCACACTGGCCTCAACACTGTTGTCGGCTTATTAATATAACGTACCAGCTTTGACATAGCCAATAATCCCTCCAACCATCACCGTCGCCGCGTAAACATAACCGAGTACGTCTGCCATTGCGCCTACTACAGAAGAGTGGCATCGTCTTCACGCAAATTATTTATTATGTGGACTAGTACATTTTTCCGTAAAATTAAATGTTTTTATCTTAAGAGAGAATTTACTTAATAGTTTACTATATTGCGAGTAATGTGAATAACAATATAATAAATAGGGACGGGATCGATCGTGTGAGAGGTATTACAGCATGGCCGCTAAAGAAGTACAACAAACACCAGCCGTTGTAAAACCAGCTCCGTATGATCCTCCTTCATGGTAAGAAATCATGATTCATGCATTTTTATGTTGGCCTGTCATGTTGTGCATTGATTAAATAAAATAGCATTTGTTATGTTGTTCATAATCGTTATGTTTCGTCAGTTAATCTACTCGGTAATTTCGTGTGTAACTAACACAAATATTGAAATAATGTACCGGTATGTTTATGTCTTGAACTTCAGGGCTGGTAAATCATTGGTTGGCCTTCACCTGGATGTAATGAAAGATGGCAAAATGATTCAGGTATAAAAAGCAAATGATCCAAGACATGTTGCTGTTTAAGTGAAAATATTGTAGAAGTTAGAGTGGTTCAGAATTATAATACTAATAGTAATACTAGTAGTAGTAGGACGTGGATATTCGTCCGAGCATCGGACACCTGTTCATATGCGCTATTCGTCCGAGCAGTTGTTGCGCATGCGCTGTTTATGTTGTACTACATAAATGTAATATAATGCTAGTCTATGGAGTCGCCTACTCTCTAACTCCAACCCGAACCCTAACCCTAACACGAACTATAAATCGACTCGGTTTGCTTATATACGCGAGTGATAGTACCAAACACTATCTATGGTGTATAAACACATACGCAACGCATGTATGCAGGGGCGTCACAGCCGTAAGGCTGCCGTAGCAAAACGCTACAGGCCCCCAGCCTAAAGGGGCCCCCAAACTTTCAAAATAGCTTCAGAATGCTGGAAATAGCATTTTAGAGCGTCTAGATTTCAAAATTTTCTGGGGGAGACACTCCAGACCCCCCTTCACACTTCCTACCTCCGGCACGAGTGCTGTGCGCCTGCGGCATGCAACATGAACAGCGCATGCGCAACAACTGCTCGGACAAATAGCGCATACGAACAAGTGTCCGATGCTCGAACGAATATCCACGTCGTATTAATAATAGTAATACTAATACTAGTAATGCTTATAGTCATAGGGTCTATGTCCCTCTGGCAGGGTACTGCTGGAACGTACCCTGGTAACTATCTAGCTGATATGGTTAGGGTTAGTGTTAGGGTTAGGGAGTACAGGCTTCCATTTTTAAGGGGCGCGATCGCACCCGCGCTCCACCGCGCACCCCAAATTGTGCCATGGTGCTTGCATCATCGCGCCTCATAAAAGTGGTTGAAATATCACGCACCAAAAGTCCCTTAGTACTACAAATACCAGGAGGTAATACTAGTAAAACTAGTAATACTGGCAATGCCACCTGTCACAATTATTACAAAGGTTAGCGGACACACAACAATTTGTGGTGTGTGAGTAACTGAACGTATGACAGAGGTACAGGTTACTACCCTCTGGTTTATACAACTAGACAACAGCATCCAAATACAGGTACTTACACGGTAGCCACAAGTTACCTGCTCGTTTTCCACTATACGTGGCGATAAGTGGTTTTCTGCCGACGTGAAACAGTCGTAGGGCTGGAGGGGCTACATACGTGGCTACTACGTACAAGTAATTTGGCTAGTTTGTTGATGGATTGTGATGATATTTCGTGCTGAAATATGCAGGTACATGGATTAGTGTCTCTAAGTCTAAGGATGAAGATCAGAATAAATAAAACAAGTTTATTTTTACATCCGATCAACTCTTTTATTAATCTGTGTGCTAGTGTGGGGTTGTTGGATGAAAAGAATGTAATAATGACGAAGCCATTGAATGAATGAAGGTGAAGATGAATGATAATGAGTAGATTGACATGACATCCCAATTTTCGTTTTGGATTTCACTCTAGACTGAGGATTGGTCATGATTCCATCGTCACACCCCAAGAGGCATGATGGAGAGCCCTTTTAAGGGTGTGATTTTTAGTGGAGCTCTCCATCATGCCTCTTAAGGGTGTGATTTTTTAGTGGAGCTCTCCATCATGCCTCTTAAGGGTGTGATTTTTTAGTGGTGCTCTCCATCATGCCTGTTAAGGGTGTGATTATGGAGTGTGAAAAGACCCCCTATGGTGTCCTAGGGGAGTCATTAGTAGTCCTCCTGTACTTTTCAAATCTGAAAGCCTGGGAGTAGGCGTAGGCGACTCCCTAGACTCGTTAGTGGAGTAGGCGAGGTACGGTCCGGCCTGTTAGATAGTAGTATTTAGTACCAGGGTACGTTCCGGCAGTACCCTGGGGGACATAGACCCTCTCAGCAATAGTAATAGCACCTGTGATTCTTGCTTTCATCTTGTAACAGAAATTAATGATTGACGAAAAGCGATATTACCTGTTTGGGAGGAACAAGGACGTCGTTGATTTTGTCACAGACCATGGCTCTTGCTCTAGAGTGCACGCTGTTCTTCTTTGGCACAAGCATCTCAACAGAACATTTCTGCTAGACCTTGGAAGCAGTAAGTATAGCCACAAGTGTGAATTTCCGGTACCTTTGTTATGGTAGCTTGCAGAGCATTGTTGCCCTAACAGTTGGTATAGCAGTCTTTTAATTATATTATATCGTTATATGTTAATGGTTATATCTTGCTAAAGAAAATCACTGCTTCAATAAGCTAGATATCCAACCTATTTGGTATTTTAATAAAAAATCTTGGTGTTGCAGCACATGGGTCTTTCCTCGGCTCAATCAGGCTGGAATCACACAAGCCACAGCAGGTTCCAATCGATTCTACGATTCGATTTGGTGCATCAACACGCACTTACATCATACGTGAGCGACCAAATAACCTCGGAAAATCTATTACCGATGATACTGGGGAGGAGGTCGAGGGAGGTCTTTTAGGGCTGCCGGAAACTGAGACTGAATTGGAGGTGAGTAGAGAATATGTCGAGTTTCAGCATTTTCTCAGTAATGCGTTTCACATTTCAAACTAAGTATTTCTTGTGCTGCAATCTCGAAATACTTGTGGTGACACACTATCAGCAATAACCGGGTGTAAGGTCATTATTAAAACATGCCGTCGTAACTACACCAAAAGAAGGATATTGTGAGGCTGTCAACGAGTATAATCTCTTCCATAGAATCTAACGGAATTCAACACAGCTCACAACAGGCGTGTGACAACATTTGGAATACAGGACACAGAGAATGAAGGAGCGCGTCCGTTAAAAAGAAAGCGGAGTAACAGTCATGTAAACTTCAGTCCTGAAGATGAGATCATCAATCCAGGTATTCAAAGAACGAATGAGAACTAATGAATTAGTATTAAGAAGTAAACACGATTGCATTGAAGAAAAAATGTAGTAGACAGTCAGCACTAGTGAGCCACTGAGCATTGTAGACTCCTCCAGCCACTTGTGACTCTAATGTGTATCCATGCTGTCCAGCTTTAAAGTTTAAAGTGAGAGCTTAAGTTTGGAATAAATACTCTAGATACTGCCATGAACAAATCTATACTCTGTACATGTGAGCATGCTATCTGTTGTTTTTCTGTTGTGATGCTATTTCAAAATTGCCATGAGGTTCTACAATACATTCTTGTATTCAATGCCATCTAGTGGTGATTTTTGAATATTCTAAAATGGCATCATTGCAGGAACAAAACTGAAACAACTCTTGCATGTTCAGGGTAAAGATATGCTCACGATATTGTCTATATTTACATGCATTCAACTTTAAACATCTATACATATCAGAAGTAGATAATAGGGAATGAGTGTGACTTCAATAAACAAGGGAAATTCGTCATTTACTAGCCTTAGAATACCTACGATTTACTACGCGTAACTCAACCAACTTGAGCTCAAATCGTACATAGTACATTCGCCTAGAACGGACGACACGATTCTCCATTCTGTTGCCAGCAAACCGAATGTATAACCCGCCCAACTTGAAACAAAAGGCAGCTACTAACGACTTCTTGCGCACTCTTGTGCTCTCGGCGATGCGGTGTGGCTCGCTGGGAGATTGGAGCTGGAGCTGCTGCTAATTGCGGTGGGCGTGCGTGCGTGGGGGGCATACCAGCTGTAAATAGGTCAAAGATTAGATCGCCGAGTGTTGCGTCAATGTCCAATCTCCCAGCGAGCCACACCGCATCGCCGAGTGCGCAAGAGTCGTTAGTAGTTGCCTTTTGTTTCAAGTTAGGCAGGTCATACATTTGGTTTGCTGGCAACAGAATGGTGAATCGTGTCGTACGTTTTAGTCTGTATCTCCAGATTGCGGGTGTATATGAGGAAACGATTTTGCACGATGCTAGGCGAATGTACTGTGTACGATTTTAGCACAAGTTGGTTGAGTTACGCGTAGTAAATCGTAGGTATTCTTAGTAAGGCTAGTAAATGACGAATTTCCCTTGTTTATTGAAGTCACACTCCTTCCCTATTATCTACTTCTGATACATATGAATTTACAGTTAGGGTGGTACGTATGCGTCCTGGCAAAAATCTGCAGAGTTCTAGAATTTGCAGTAGGGTCACAAAGAAAAGCAAGTAATTATGAATTCGAATGATGGAAAAAATGCATGTGCCCTGACCATTATTGTTTCATTTACAGAGGACATAGATCCATCAGTGGGAAGGTTCAGAAATATGATTCAGACAGCATTTATTCCGAAGAAGGTAAATCCACTTTAGAGCCATCATTCAGTGTACTGATGGTGCATTTTTGTGCCAATTCATTCAATATGGTTATCAGCAGTCACGACAAGCATAAGCAATGCACAGTTCTGATTATATTATGACTACATGCATTATCAGTGGCAACACTGAACTTACTTTCTTCTCCCCAACCTTTCGTAAAATAAGACCGTTCGACATTCAACAGCAACACGACAACACTGACGACATGACGACCTGCTCTTCATAATCATTTCTCTAACCTTTTAGAAAATGAGACAGGAGGGACAAACGCCGGGTTCCACGGAGACCTCCTCTCGCCACCTACAGCCGCACTATCACGACAACCTGTACAGCGATTTGCCGCATCCCAACGAAGGCGCGGCGCCCATCGCCTCGGCACTGCCGGGGAAGCTTGGCTTCTCGCTTCCAAATCCCGCTCCCGAGTTGGAAACGATGGACGCTCACGTTCCCACGATTCATCCGGCCGTGGTGCTGCCCTCCATGGTAGCCGCGTCCGGCGGAGAGGACGAACCGAAGAAGAAGAAGTATGCGAAGGAGGCGTGGCCCGGAAAGCGACCGACGCCGGCTTTGCTTCTCTAAGGAGCAGGTAGTGCTGCAGGAGAAGGCGATTCACGTAGCTAGTGTGCTGTCGTGAGTATAGCCGAATCCTGGCACGATTGTATATAAAACTGATTGTATTTGATGTATTCCACACGTGACATTACAAACTGTCCCAGCAGTGCACCAGTATTTACATGTCCTCACTTGATTCCGTGTGCGTACAATTATGTCGCATGGTTGCCAAAAGATTGCCAGTTATTTTGCAGTGGTAATACAGTTTTTAGGTTCTGCCTAATACTGTACACATGCAGTGAGGACATATATGGTATCTGATTGACATTTGTTTTTGGTTTCTAGTACGAGATATTTTATTGTATGAATCTAAATTGAGCTCGTGTATAATTAAACCAATGGAAATTGTCAAGCCTTGTAAAGGCGTGGTTTTTTTTTTATGTCAGGTGCTTTTGCATTTGGAGTGGTTGCTTCGTCTATATTTCATAATGCTGTAATGCGTGTCAGTTGCCAGTGGCCCTGATGTACCATATTTCATAGCTTATAGACATCACTCATCTCAAATTTATAAAGTAATGAGTATATTCCCACTAACAGGTTTGTGCTCACCATAAATAAGATCACACCCTTCATTTTTACTATTATTTTACCCCCCCCCCCCCAATTCCCTTATTTCATAAGCCCTCCTCAATATCAGCATTTGTTAGTATATACTGTAGGCTATTCCAATGAGGTGTATAATATATCGTGCCGTAAGTAAAAGTCTTGGCTGTAATAGTGTGCGCTACCCCAACCTCAAGCTTATAGGATACAGGGTGGTTTTTTTTACACACTATCCGAGAAAAAATGCATTATATAAGGTGTGAAATGATAACATACCTCTGATCATATTACCCTATCACAGTCGTGTCAGCCGTTCCATTATTCATACATTATATTATTTATCTGTAATGTAGTTATAATAATTGACAGTGTTTCATTGATCACTCGTAGTACTTCCAGCTGAAAAATATTATTTATAAATGTATAATGTCCTATATGAAATTACTTTTATTGAAAATTACAAAACCTGTACATCACGAACATGAAAGGTAACTCGTCCTGGCAGTACCCCATGCATATAGCATCTGTTTTCTAATAAATCGTTTGTAAATAGTGTAGTATAACAAAATTGGTTATTTCTAGTTATTTAAATGCGTACGTCTACCAACGTATATGATATCAGAAGTAGATAATAGGGAAGGAGTGTGACTTCAATAAACAAGGGAAATTCGTCATTTACTAGCCTTAGAATACCTACGATTTACCGCGCGTAACTCAACCAACTTGAGCTCAAATCGTACACAGTACATTCGCCTAGCATCGTGCGAAATCGTTTCCTCGTATACACCCGCAATCCGGAGATACAGACTAAAACGTACGACACGATTCTCCATTCTGTTGGCAACAGATCGACTTCATAACCCGCCTAACTTGAAACAATAGGCAGCTACTAACGACTCTTGCGCCCTTGGCGATGCGGTGTGGCTCGCTGGGAGATTGAACATCGACGCAACACTCGGCGATCTAATCTTTGACCTATTTACAGCTGGTATGCCCCCCACGCACGCACGCCCACCGGCGTCCAAATGTTGTTAGATTCTCGCGATGTTGTTTGCA